ACATTTTTTTTACCAATTCCATAGAATTTATTTTTAACTACTACCAAAAATGGCATTTACAAGATAAACGAAATTAAATACTAGATTTTTTTTAATACGCTGTTTAAATATTATATTCTTTATCCTGGATTATAATCTAAAAATGAATTTTTAAAAAAAAAATGGTTCAAAATGCATGGGAAGATTTTTTTTTTTTCTTTTCTCATATTAAACAGAGAAAAGTCGTTGGGGATTTAATAAATAAAGGCTACGTATTTTTTTTAAAATAAATCATTCTACTCTGCTGTTCCTGAAACTGTGTTACAAAATTAGAAACCACTCGATTTAATAATAATTGATGAAATGTCCACTAGAGATGCAACCGGTAAATTCCTAATTTTTTGTTTTAAAATATCGTATTTTTTGTTGTTGTTTTTTTTTTTTTTTAAACTTTTCATTTGATCTAACTCAATGTACATGGATGGAATCTACTACATTAAAATGTATGCTAAAACACATTTTTTTAAAGCATGATACTATTATACATTTTAGAATTAACACTTATCTCTACTTTAACAGTCATGATTTTATGATGAAATATAATTTGAAAATAGATTGCACATTTTTATTAATTTGCAAGAACTATATTCAATTTATAGAGCTTCATATCCATGTAAAGTTAGTTAAATACAGTGTTATCAAAGTCTTTCAACTTGTGCAGCTGCAAAATATAAAAAAATAAAAATACCGATATATGCGAATAAGAAAAGTAAGATTTGGCTTATGATCAGGAGCGGCTAATTTTCAAAACAAAACGATATTTATAATCGAATTCTGTGAGCCTGTCACTGTATCAAGAGTAACCTGAAAGATATGGATCATCAATATATATCGAACAAAGCGATATTTTATTGGCTCCATTGGTTGTAATCGATGAAAGACACACATTTCTGTTAGTTTTCAAATTTTATAAAAATTTAATTTATAGTATTTTCTTTTAATTTAAAAAAATATTTTTTCTTACACATTTTCCCCCGTGGGGGGCATTGACTTGCTTTGGGGGGGGGCCGCTCTGCCCCCCCCCCTTTGAGGTATGCCTGAAAGAAACCCTGATTGTTTACCCTGACCCTAGTGACTGGGTGTAACACACCTGTGCACTTATTATAATAGGGGGGAAAGTGTTCTGGCAATTCCTGGCCCCTGGGTGGGTCACACCCTTAGTCTTATATCACAGTAAATGGCTTTATTTATGTTTTCTTTTTTACAATGTGTCATGATTTAGTTGCCTAGAAACCGAACTCCCTTCAGAGATCGAAAAGTATCTCCCAATGAAGCAATTCTTCTGTATATTAAGAAACAAATGATACAACCAATAGTCGACCACACCAACAGGGAGGGAAGATGAGAAAGTTAAAGGAGACAAAAAATGGCAAAGGAATGATGCGATCTAAATGAAAACTTTGATTGGCTGCCTACTACACACTGGCGCTCTTCACCTCAACAGCATTTCATTTTAATTTTTACTAAACCCTGTTGATGGACATCCTCTTTTTTTTTCAATGAAGAGATTCAGCAAACTTCTGATTCATAGTGACTTTGACAACAAGAATACTAGATCAATCCTTTCTGGCTCATGACATTTTTGATCCTATAAGAGATGTATGAGAACCATTCCTGAGTAATTTGGCGAGGTATCATGTTCCTGGAGGGAACATCACAGTTGGTTAGTAACTGGTTAGTGTTAGAGCATGGGCGCCCGCAGGGGGGGGGGCAAGGGCGGCACTGTCCTGTCCGTTTGTTCACCATACAAATACGCTACAGTAAATTAAAACTATATTAAAACATTACTAAAAAAAATTTGCCCCCCCCCCTGGAAAGTTAATCGATTTTTTTGCCCCCCCCCTAGAAAGTTTTCTGCGGGCGCCCATGTGTCAAAGGTCAGTGCAAATTTATTCAATACCTGTACATGCCATGCAAGCACAACAAATATTGAATAAAAATCTTCTTAACCTGCGAGTCGTCTTCAAAATATTCGAACTATCCTCTGAGAGGCTGCCCATATCTTGGCAAAGAAAATATAAGTGCCCTGCCAGCATAGATAAATGTTGGAATATCCACAGAGATTTTGAATTCTCTCTCAAGGTACTTCCATGGACGTGACCACAATTTTAGACAAGACTATTATTTCATTCCCCTACAACTTGCAGAACCAATGACCCAGAACCAACTAACCCTAGTTGGAACTGCCAAAAGGAACAAGATGTTCCTACCCAAGGAGTTCGAGCAAAAGAAGGCTCTGCCTCTCAACAAATCTGTGGTTTTGTTCGGACTAGAAACAACCTTGTCGAATACCAGAGCTCGAAGCAGAAAAATGTATTGCTCCTGAATACAATCGTCCAGAAATGGAAAGGGAAACTGAATGCAAGAAACAAGAGATTGTGCCCTATAAGAACAAAATCAAAGGAGGCATATTCGCCATGGACCAAACAGCGAAGGTGATCTCTGTGAATGCAAGAATCTAAAAGTAAAAGATGGCCATTGGTTGTATTTTTCAACATTGTTGACTTGACATCAATTGCAGCAAGAGTGGCATTTGAAAACGAATGTATGACTAACGCACTGTCTCAGGAAGAAAATAGACAGCCAATATTGGTGTTGGACATTCAAACAATATAGAACTTTCTGGAACATTCAAATATACATTATTTATAATAACCTCCTTGAAACCTGTGAACAAAAACTTTTCTACGTAATTATTTTTCGAATACGAAAACTTCTACAACTGAATGACACTAAATAATTGTAATCATTTTTCATTTAAGTGAAAAGAGGGACCCCGGATGGCACATTTCCTAAGGTATGTTTAGTTACGCCTGAAATGGGGCCCTATAAAAATCAGTCAGATAAATAATAGGGTTAACATGTACAAGTTGTCCCAATAAAATCAGGTTTAAGATGATATCAATGTTTCAAATATTTCCTTAACTTTTCAACAAGTTTCCTCGAATTTCAAGTAACTGAATTCAAGATAATTTTGGCAGTTTCTAGAAAGTTCGAAATTAAGAGTCCATTTTTATGGCCTAAGCTATATACCTAAATGAAGTTTAATGCTTAGCTTACGGTTTACGCTTCTACTTCTACGTGTGTCGATGGATCTTGGCCAAAGTTGATAACCATACCATTCATAACTCCACCGGGAAAAAGATCCCACCGGGAACGTGATCCTATCAAGGAACAAGATCCAAATAAGAAAATAAGATCACATCTGATAACAGTATCATGACAGAAAAGAGATCCTGACATGAATGGGATCTCACGGGGAACTGGATCCCACTAGCTGATAACGGGATCACATCTGGGAATGAGATCCCAACGGCTAAAGGAATGCCATGGAGATCGGAATCTCAACGGGTAAGGGATCCCGTCAGGAAACGGGAGGCCACCATAAAAGGGAGTCCCATCTGGGAAACGGAAACCAACCGGGATCGGAAACCCAAATTGGGTCAGGATCCCACTGAGAACGGATATGTGATTACATTTATAAACGGGATCCCACCATGATCAAGATCCCAATGGAATCTGGATCCCACCGGGAAGGTGATCCCTTCGGGATCGCATCAGCATCGGGATCCCAATCGACAGAAATTTATACTTTTACAAGATTTATGGAACTTCATATAAAGAGTTCAAATCTTTGAGCCTTGGAAATGTTCCTGTTGATCTACAGTGCTCAAAATGTGCAGTGTCTTTACTTGCTGTACTGAACCATGTCACTAGTTTTAAATAGGAATATGCAATGACAATAAGTTTTATTATTAGAATCAACACTGAAAACTGTATTTTTAAGTTATTTTCCTTGAAATAAAAATGCTGAAAATGGGCTGTATGTGTAATACTGAAATTAATTTCTCATTTAAAAATGGTCTGTTCGTTTCATCATTTACTATGATGTTTATTCTCTTGCACCAGATGGCTCATGACATGGTACACATAAAAGCTGGTACGGTACCAAAAGATGAAATTTTTTAAATATTTACTGATAGCAGGTGTAAGCAACTATTTTTGTTATACTTGAAAAACTAATAAATGGGCTTTTTGCTAGTGTTGGCTTTAACATTGACAGATGGAAATGATGATGTAAAAAAAAAAACGAGCAGGATGAATTGCTTCAATTTTTGTTACACACTAGAGGTCCTATTGACATTTAATCATGCATTCTTTTAAGATGTCATAACAGTTATAATGAGCTGACGACTGCAAAATAAAGATTTTAGTTCTTGTTATAGAGAGCTTGTTTACATAATATTTCTCGTGCGTGCCCTCTGATTGACCCCGCATGAGACGCTGTGTTCACAAAGGGGTGTGGCTTAGGCCTTTGAAGTATTCTTGTTTACACCGCCAGCCACTAAAAATAATTAATCTGTTCCAGATAGAATTTTGTAGAATAAATCTGATTTTTCTAGAACTGCCGTGTAGATTATCGAAGGCAGGGCTTAGGCGTCGGTAGACCCACCTATATAAGGGATTGACAGGCACGGACGAGAACGGACGGAGATTTTTCACAGAGATTTTCTTAACATTACGAGGCGTGTTTTATTCTTTGTGTATTTGTGTGCTCCTACTTATATGTGTTTATTTCGCATTATTGATTGGAATCATTATTTCTAATTATATTAACTGTGTACCGGTACGAGATCTACCATACTGTAAGTTGAAGATTGTAATTTTATTTTATTTTCTTTTGTAAATTATCTTAAGACATAATAAATCTTAATTAAATTGTAACTAGAAACTGTTTTGGATCGTATCTTGAAGTTAAGATTCCCAATTTCCTTACATATACTTTATAATTTAAAAAAAAATAGTGAAACAAAAATAAAGGGAATCACAATCAGACCTGTACACTTGTGTTATACTTGATGTTAAGATATCTGAAGGAAAAATAAACATCTTCACAGTTTTATCAGATTTAATTTTTTAAGGTAAAGACTCCACATCTTTGATTAATTAATACAAAATATGCACCACTCACCCATTAATAATGAAACAACCTTTAGTAAAAATGCTAAGAACAAATTTTATAAAGAGATTTGGATAGGCAGTTTATCACAAAAAAAATACACTTTACCGAAAATAGGTAACGTACTGTATATAAAAAAAAAATTAAACTTAGTAGGATAGTTGAGAAACTGTTGTAAAATTAAATGTTTGGATGAAGATTATTTTTTTTAAAGTCAATTATCACATCAATAATAAATATATATCTTTCAAAAATTGACAAGGTAAAAATAGTATAGAAAACTAAATAATATTGATGGTAAAAAAATGCAAAAAAAACCCAGAATTTGAACACATTGATGTGGATCCATATTTTTGTAACCATTTTTTAAAATGGAAATATTAACTGTATGTAAATAAAAACATGATAAAACACTGATGAAAAATTTAAAACGGTGATATGTAGTGGGATAATTCAGCACCTTTTGTAAAATTAAATGTTAGTATGAATATTTAATTATGCAAATTAATTTTTTTAAAAATCCAATCAATAATAAATATATATCTTACAAAAACTGACAAAACCCAAATTTTGAATGTCTTTTATAAATGAAATTTGAAATGATCAATATTTTTTAAACAATTTTTAAAATCCACTTTAAAGATGCATAAATATGCAATTATTACATTTTAAGTGCATGATGAAATAACATTTTTAAATTACTTTTTTCTTTAAAAAAATCACATTTAACAGTTTTAAAGTTAGGGTGTTTTTATGGTTAAATATGGAACAATCCTTAAAATAATATCAAACTCACATTAGCACTTAAAGACATGTACATTTTAAAAGAAATATTAATAAAACTATTTGGTTTTTGAGAGCAAAAAATTCATAACAATGTTCAAAAAATGTTCCTGCCTAGTAAATTACATCAGCTACTCATCCATCGCAATAAATCCATTTTTATGTGGAATGAAAACTCATGTTATATTACATAATATGCAAAGTTTCTCTTTGTAGCACACTCGCGCAGCAGATATGATTGGCAATGAAATTTGAAATGCAAACAAATTGTGTCATTTTTCTAAAAAAAAATTATAAAAAGTTACATTTCTAAAGACATAACTTTGATATTCACTTGGCAAAATATTAAGGTGTACACATTTGAAATTGAAAAGCTACATGTCAACTTATAAACTTCTGGATATTGAGCCTACAAACAATATCATTATTATACATTTCCTAAGCCTTTAATGGGTTTCATCTAGCAAAAAAAAGTGAGTAAAGGCTGGTAGTGAAACTTACAAAATCATCAAGCACACTGAATCATATTATGTCATTAATGAAAATAACTTTCTGATCACAGGAATATGAAGGCAACCTTATAGAAATTAAAACAGTATATTATTTAGAGAAGATATCTAAATATGCTTCAAAATAAAGTAAACCAAATTGATATATAAAAGTTACCATATAAAAGTTCTGTATTTAATGAAATAATGCTGTCAAGTTTAGTTGTAATATTTATTTCAAATATAAATACTCGTAGCTGTGGAGGAAATGACAAATTGATAAAATATCATTATCATGCCAACAACTATCATAGGTATTGTCGCTCAGCATGGATTATTTATACAATTAAGTAAACTTCACATTGCTGGTGAAAATCCCTCTCCAGAACTTAGTTTAATATTGTCACAGTGACTAAATGCTTACAAAACATCATATTTGTTGACATTAAATAATCTAAACAATATAAGGCACTAAAGGTTTAACTATTAACACATTATTATAAGAGAATTATCAATTTTATTTTTACAATCAAAAATAAATTTGAGCATATTTTTTATAAAGAGAAGCAAGAAACTTTTTTTTTTACAAATATATTGAATTCATCGCAAAATAAAAATTTCAGGGAAGAAATAAAAATGAATAACGTTTAAGTAAAAGAAGAACAAGAGTAGTAAACTAAACCCCTCGATGTGGTGGCAGTTGGGCCCTGTAGGCTGGGAAGCATTCATAAAAAGCATCTCGAAGTGACACCTCTCTAGGGTCATCTAACAAATATCCACCCATGTAATTTGTAGTGTAGGCCACTCCTACTCCAATGGTGGGATCAGCAAAAGCCATGTTACCACCATAACCATGGTGACCAACCACATGCTGTCCTTCCTTGGAACAGGAGAGAAAAATGTTGACAGTAAAGAGCAATTAATTGAATTTACACCCACCTTTAATAAAGATATAAATAAATTATGAATAAATTTTAAAAAAGACAATAAAAAATATATAAAATCATTCAAAAAAATTTTTTTTTCAAAGAAAATTTTTATCTAACAAATTAAGCAAACTTGGTTACCCAGTAAGTAAAAAGAGATTCAATTTAATAAAATATGCTAAAAGTAAGATTTACCTTTTTCCTGTCCACAATCAGACCTCTGGATAATGGGCTGGATAGAATCAATAAATTTGGCAAGCCTTGTGTCAGAGGTTGTACTAAGGCCTCAACAACACCAGGAGATAAAAGCCTTTTACCCTTTAGGCTTCCACCATTAGCAATGAAGTCATACAGCTTTGCAAGACTTCTAGCTGTTCCGATCCCCATCACTGAGGGAAATCCAACAGACAGGAGTTCAGGATTGTTAAAGCCCTTTTATTAAAATATAAGGTAAAAGAACATCAAAACCAAGAAGTAGAGGGAGAAAGAGAGGGGGGAGGAGAGAGAGATAGGGTGTAATTAATTGAACTTTAATTTTGTCGTAGATTTTTCTGACGTAAACTTTTTTGATATTATTAATATGATTTAAGTGTTATCTATTCAGGAATTCTCAAACTAATTCTTTGTTGTACTCATAATTTTTTTATTTTGGCACCACACATCCCTAAGCAACTTGCTTTAAATGCCACATTAGTTTGTTTATGAACCATCTGCTATTTGCATCAACTGCATTAGCTGCTTCATTTATGATTGATAAGCCTTATCCATACACATATACCTTAAAACTATGAAGTAGAAGAGCTTCCCTCCTTTAAGACATCCTATGGTAACATTTATTTATTTGTGAATGTCCCCAGGGAAATATTTAAGAACATAAGGCAAGGACTTCATAAAATTGAATTTTTTAAAAGCGTTTTTATAGGCTTAGTGCTACAGTGCCAGAGAAATACATTAAATACATCTGCCATTTTTCAACATTGTGTTGATTTTTACTGAGGCCTACATCCGCTCCCTGGAACTGGTAGTTAATAAGTGCTGGATATTCAAGTCTTAAAGAATCTTTTAAAAATCTTCATATTGGTCACTAATCAAGACAAAAGTTAGCACAAATAAGGCTGTTGAACATTGAAATTTTCAGAGACATTGTTACAATATCAAAGTGAGATCTTCACCTTGTCTGGCATCTCCAGGACTTCGAAAGCAATTTTAAAGTAAGGGTTAAGTGTCATCAGATATAATTCCATGTAACCAAATGGTTGTTCCCAAATGCTAGCTGCTTTGTATCTTGCAAATCTATGGTATTGCTCTGGTGGTATTCCTATATAAAACTCAATGTCTGTTAGAATCAGATAGAATATCAAAATAAATTATGGTCTGGGAAAAGAAAAAAAAAAGGAGTTATTTTGTTAAATTTCAGAGCATGAGAAGATTTAACTAAGAAGAATTCAATTAGTTTTATTTCAATATGTTTAAAGCTAATTTATGTACCTCTTTAAACCAACAAAATGGTGATCAATTAATTCATCAATTTAACTAAGTAATTACTATAATAAAAAAAATGATAGTAACAAGACAACACTGAACTTTTCTACATGAAAATATGTATTAGCTTTCCTCTAATTACAGTTAACATTCCTATCTCTTCATCCAACAATTTTAATGAGTTTATCCCATATTAGTCCCGTTAAAAAAAAGTATACAACACTGATTGAATTTAGAATGTACCATGTGAATTAAAAATCTGTTTTGACAAGTTATTTTAATATTATAATGAAAACAATTATATAATATAATATATTATACTGACCAAGAGGTTTTGCAATTTCTTCTTGAAAGAAGGTGGAGAGATTTCTGTGTTGGGGATCCACCTTCCGTACCAAGGCATCTGCATACATGCCGAAGGTAAGGCCATGGTATCCTACTGCAGTACCTGAATCAAAGAGAACGCTTGTTACATAAGAAACATCTATTTACAAAATATCCAGATAAATTGCAACATATTTGAATTTGAACCTTTAAAAAACTCACAGGTAAAATTTGTTTTATATATTGTATATTTAAATGAATGTAAACCATTTATTTATTTTTTAGACGTCACTAATATAGCCAATAGAAGAACTTGTATAATTACAATATGCCATGTTGGTTTTTGTTTGTCAGCAAGTTTTGCCAGCTGTGTAATATCTCATTTGTCACTAACTCCCTTATGCTCAGTGATATTTTGTGTAATTTCTAAAAAACCTCTGACACCACCTTGTTTTAATGTGTTAAAGGAAACACAACAATATTATAATAAAGAAAATAAAATCCTCGACTTAACAGCTAATTTATTAATTGAATATAACATGCAATGTAATAAGAAGTCTACAATAAATGCATTATGAAATATGTATGAAAAAATGACTAAGGAATATGCAATGAAATGCACTATGAACTATGAGGTATGCTAAGAAAAAAATATGTTACACAAATATAACTGAGTTTATGAAAACACAAGAGATACAATGTAACAATTCTAATTAATATATATATATATACCTCTTTATGTGCATACTGTGGCAAAACTGGTACAAGATAGGTCAAAGTCTAAGTCTAAACAAGCACGAGAGAGGTCTCATGTGAGGACTGTTTGGTGGTCAGTAAAGTAACTGCATTCTGTGTCACTTATAAACCCACTCGTTCCTCCCCAAACCTCTACCCTGACGCCTCCTAGTCGCCAACCTCCACCCAAATAGTAATTAAATCCTGCCATCATACTACCTTGAACTGACGCCTCAAGGCATGCTAACGTAAGTCACAGACAACGAATAAACACAGACAACATGTCACAACAGCCCAAGGAATCACCACAATAGGTATACTTGTTGAGAGTACCTTGACCATGACGTAACGGTCACAGTCAACCTGTAACATCATTTTCACTGAGTGTTTGGCAAGATTATTACTTAATTTAGTCGACTCCAAATTTCAACAAATAATTCAGTGGAATTAATACAAGCATTATCTACCTGCAGGCCATTTGGGTGCTTGAATAGCCAATAATTTTTCAACATAGTTCCAGTCCTTTTGATAGTCATGCAGAGTGATTTTTTCATCAAGTCCGATAAGTCCAGCCTGCAGACATGGATATAAAAAATCTTTAAGTCTTACATTCAAATGCAACTCATTTATGTTTTTTCAGATTGCAATTATAATTACTGCAACAAACACATTTAAATAACAATTTTGCATTTATACAAAATTAATCAGAGCTCTCATTTATGAGTGCATATATTTTGGGGGTTTTGGGGCTGCTGATTGAAGGATATGTTATTTGTGACTTCTTTGCTATCCATGTTTTCAAAAGGTTTTCAATTCTGTCAAGAATATTTAAGCTCTTCAGGAACTTGATGACTTGGCCATTTGCATTTCATCAAATAGATAAAGCCATTTGTGCATTTGGAACTGGACCTCATGGATGCAGGGTTTTCAACCTCAATGACACAAGTGCAAATGGTATAAAAGTTTATATAAAATACATCGGCAGATATAAATTCTAAGAGACTGAATGTTTCTTGAGATTTAAATTGTAAGCTGAAATATAATATATCTAAACTGACTTGCCTGGTGGCTCATTAACATCTCCACAGTTATATTCTTCTTGTTTTTAGCACCAAACTGAGGCCAGTACCTATACACTTCTTTTTTATAATCTAGTAGGCCCCTGTGAATGAAAAATCTTTGCAACTTAAAAACAGAATTTAAACCAGCAGCATGAACATATTAAACATGATTGTAACAATAATAGGTTCACAAAAAATGTGGATAATTTATAAAGGAAAAATAGCTCTGATTTTAAATTCCCTACCAACTAGTACTATTTGTATGAAATATTGATTATTTAAAAATAATATATCTAAGACTCTAGCAATGCATCTACATTTCAAGGAATTTCTACTCCAAGTTTCTGCAGATATCCATATTTTGATACATTTACACATGTTGCTCATTGTGCAAAGGTTTGACTTTTTTGGTAAAAGTAACTCAACTTAATTAAGAATATCAAAGTGGAGAATGTCTACTTACATATCAACTAGCCTGGCAATCACAATGGCCGAGACACCTTTAACCATTGACCATGACAATGTCATGGTATCACTTTGCCAGTGTCTCTCAGTTTCATGGTCAGCCCATCCACCCCATATGTCAATTAAAACTTCACCTTTGTAATAGACAGCAAAGGCAGCTCCTCTCTCTTTGCCACTGGCTAAATTAGACCTGTTGATTTAAAAACACCAAATAAATAAATTGATAATAAACATTTTCAACATAATTTCATATACAGGCTTAATGTGTTATTTTCCTTAGAGACTAACTAGTTATCTGACACATTATTAATGATTATCGCATGAATTAAATAAAATGTTATTTTTTAGTACTAGTAAAAACCAATCTCAGTTGGATTCAGGTATAGGCCTATGTGAAAGAGAATCCTAAAATAGGGCTATCACTAGGATGTGAGCCCCTATCATTACTTACTTAAAAGTGTCTGCTACTTTGGTAAATGAAGGATGAAAATACCCAGAGACTTTAGGTGCTTCTTTAGTCTTTGGAAAATTATGAGCATAAAACTGCCACGCAGCAATAGCCACAATAACAGCAAAAGTGTTTCTGACAATACCCATCTCTCAATTTTACCTGTGATGAAAAGTTTACTACAAAAAAAATTTACTTACTTCATATTTATAATCATATCTATATCATACATAAAAAATAATATATTATTTAAAATATCACTTCAAAAAAAGTATTACCCTAGTCCTAGTAGTGTCCATGCCAATAGTCATAGTAAGTCATAGTCATAGTAAGTCATAGCCATAGCTAAGGACAGTATCAGTAAGGCTCAGTAATCATTACCAATAATTCTATCAATGGGGCAATTTATGATAAAAGAATAAAAACATTTGTAAAAATTCAAATAGAAAAATAATAATTACTTCCACTTTCCACCTCCAACTCCAAGACATCCAAAACAAGTACTACACTACGTCACGTCTACCACAGTCAGTACATAATTTGTTAGTATTTTGACTTGTGGGGAGCTTGTATATATAGTTATAGCCTAAATTATAAATTAAATTATATTAAGTCTTTCTTAAGACACTTAAGTAATCTTAAAAGTTAAACTTAATTTAAATACGCTAGGGCTAGTACGTTAAAGTTTAAAATAAAAGTATTGAGAAGTTCAAAACTAAAACAAATTATAAGGGGTAATTTAATAAGGGGAGAGACTGCAATCAGGTTAGTACAAATTATAATTAGGATATCGGGTATTTATTGTTTTTAATTTTGAATATCATGGAACAGCTTTAAAATCATAAAGTTTATGATTATGTGTAACTCGTTTATTACTTATACTATACTTGTTTTAACTGTGAACAGTCCTTGATAGTTCACTCAGTTTTTTTTTTTAAATAAACAAATTACAAGGTAGTTCGTTTTCAACGCGGTTAACTTTTATATAACTTCACACAGAAGATTTATAGTAATATGAAATGACCATCTGGGTCATCTGGAGTTATATTTTACTTCTGATACCTTATACATTTAGAATACTAAGCAATTACTCCAGTGTAGAAGTAGAAGCCATACATTATACATTTTCTGCCGATATTTAAAAAACGAATAATATCTTGAAAATCGTTTATTTTCTAAGTTTTAATATATTAAATGTGTAATTGTAATGATAAAAAGAGTCACACTTAAATTTAGACATTCAGTTCAAACTGCAGCATGTGGTTGCCCAGAGGCGCAGTTAAAAGAAGGGGGGGGGGCAGAATGAAACAGATTCCCGGACCCCATGCTATATGGGGCGCCAAAATGGGATTTGGGGGTAATTTGTTGAAAATAATAAGTTAAAGAGGCAGGTGTTGTAAAATGAATACTGTCCCCCTCCCCGGGCCCCAAATACTCTAGGGGGCCATCCGTAAATGACGTCACGCAAATTTTGCCAATTTTTTATCCTCCTCCCCCCATCTCAAAATTTTCCAAATTTTTACCCCCCCCCCCCCCACCCCACAAAAAGAATCCCCCCCCCCCCAAAAATAACCGCCCAAAACCCCTCCCCCCCCCCCCATAAAAATTCCCTGTGTCCACTAATGACCTTTACAAACCCTAAAGAAATTCACCTCTCATGGATATCAAACCACTGCACCTGTGTCAGAAACATTTCACTTGAACAGTGGTTCTAAACCAGGGGTAAAAGTACCTCCTCAGCCCAGAGGTGTGGAACAGTGCCGCCTTAAGGCATGGGCCCAGGGCCCCGCACTGGTAGGGGGCCCCACGTTTCTAAGAGACTCACTCTTATAGAGGCACCATGCTTAACATGTAGGTAATGAATATTGAAAGAGGCGTAGCTGAGGGGGGGGGGTGCGAACCGCACCGGGTGACACCATCTCAGGGCGTTACACCAAATTGAAAAATTGCGTATTTACAGAGCAAACACCGCTCGGTCTAACCGAAATTGATAAAAGGATAACAGATGACACATACATTTTCCATCCATGTAACCAATCAAAATGCTTGTTGTATTAAAATTTCAAGGTTGATGCGGCAGCCGTTAGGTTACCTTATTATTAGGTCAGAAGCACAACGTTTTGACCATGTTTCAACGCCGAATGAAGTGTTCGGTAACTTTTGTAAGTGACAGGAAGCTAGAGTTATCTAAACTCTGACAAATAAAACTATCCTTTAATAACAATGGACGATTCTTAAATACATTTACCTCCTGACCATCAATTAATTTGGTTTTGTTCTTTTATTTGTTATGCTTTGGACTAAGTTTAACAAGAATAATTAGGCTACATCGTGGAGGCGGGTCGTGACACCACGAGCTTACCGGACTGGATGACACCAACCCTAGCTACGCCACTGATTGTATTTGCTATCATTGCCAGTTGCTTTTTAAAAAAAAATATTTAAAAAAAAACAAAACAAGTTTTTATGCATTTCAGCAGTAAACATATTTCTGGTGAATTTTGTTGGCGCTTTGCTTGTATTGGTAATTTTTCCCCTTGTCTATAAAAAGAAATAAATAAAACTAAGACTAAGATAACTGAACTATTTAATTATTTAAAATTTTATTTAAAAAATAATTTATCTGCCTACGGTTTGGGTGAGAGGGTGTTGTTTAAAACGGAGTGGGCCTGCAGCGTTGCAAAGAAAAAGGCTAAGAATCCCTGCCCTAGAGCATTTACTAAGATCCCCCCCCCCTCCGCGGTCAACCATTTTCTTTCCATCCCGCTTCATGTGGTAGGCCCCCCCTAATCCTAATTCTATGACTCCCATGTCCACATTTAGCCATAAATTCCCACGACGTTCATTGCAACTACATTCCGATTCTCCTCCTCATTGGCGTCCTGCAACTTGATCAGAGGCCATTTTTCGGCCCTCACATACAGCCGGTAGGCTGGTAGGCCTACTCTGATTGTCTCAGTGATCGTAGTTGAAAAATACAATAATTATAATGGTTGTAAAAAAATAATATTTAAAATGTCTGTAACTGTAATTTAGGGTTATTAAGTGCAATTCTGTACGACGAAAATCCCCTTTTCATGTTACGTCACATTGCTTGAGGCCCCCCCCCCGTTACACAAATCTGACCCCCACCCCCCAGACGCCATTTATGAATGGCCCCTAGCTCCGTTAGCCGACCGCTGGCTGGCAGTAGGTAAAATACGGTAAATCATAATTACGTATTCGCAGTGATCTAATCTCTGGTGGACACAAACTGACAACATTTAAGACATTTTGTTTTATTATTTATCTTTTTATTTTGATTTTTTTGAAGCAAAGAAATTTGAATCACGCAGGTGTAGCTATAAATTATACAAAAGTTCACTAATTAGGCATTAACGAATCTTTTTTTTAAAAAATACATCAAAATCATTGTCTGGCTTTCCGGTTAGGCACCCCATTTCAAGTGGCACCTCGGCACGCCTATGAGGAGGGGGGGGGGCATTAATAACGTCAACAATTTAAAAGTAATTTTTGCCCCCCCCCCCCCCCCCATTTTTTTTTAAAAAATACATCAAAATCATTGTCTGGCTTTCCGGTTAGGCACCCCATTTCAAGTGGCACCTCGGAACGCCTATGAGGAGGGGGGGGGGCATTAATAACGTCAACAATTTAAAAGTAATTTTTGCCCCCCACCCTCTGTCAACAACTCAATCTTTCAATGCCCCCACCCCCGCCCCAAGTAATTATGTCAAGATTTGTATACCCCCCACCCCAAAAAAGGAATTATAATATAAGTAAATACATTTTACTTTGTGCTGATCTATTATAATAACACAAAATTGTAGGAAAAACATTTTATTACAGTGTTAATCAACAGGTTAAAAAGTTTTACACTTAAATTTTGTAATACAGAATCAATGAAAAGGTTGTTAAAGTCTAAATATCATTGTTTGTGGAAGTATAAATATGATTATTGTCAGAAATGTCAGTAAAGCTGACAATTTGTAGCATAGTATCTAGCTGCTATCATCTTCCCAGGGAGTAGCCAGGTGTTGCTCTATCGTAACAATAGGCATATTAGCTGATTTATCAAAGCAAACATTATATATACTCAATGACGGTGCAGGGCGTCTTAACAACGTTGAAGGCCCTGGGCAAAACAATAGTACTGATTATTAAAACACAACATATTTTTTGGAAGCCATCGTTACCTGCCTTATTTTATGTTATCTGTTCTCAGTCACAACTTTTTCTCGGATTCCTGGCCTTCCTATCTAACCGAACTTCTTTCTGTCTATTCACCCCTTTGACAGCTTCGCTCCTCCGCAGACACGTGTATTCTGTCCATTCCCAAGACACACACTAAACCATATGGTGAACGATCTTTCTCTTTCTGCGCCCCCAAACGATGGAATTCTTTGCCACTACACCTCTGCAATACCAACCACCCAGGCCTTCAAAACTGCACTCAAAACACATCTCTTTAAACTATACTACCCTGACTGATTCCCCTCCTCTGACCGATAAATGATCTTGCTGGCTGCCGTCCATGGTTTGCCTTGCAAAAGTCCTGGGGTTCATGCTGTTCTTTATTTCATAATTGTATTTGATTTTAATGTCATGATTATGTCTCTTTTGATAATATTTTTATGTACAGCGTGGTGAGCCCACCCCTAGGCTGGGGTAACGCGCTATAAAAGACCACTAATTATTATTAGTATAACCAAATTGAAGATATGTTGTACTGGTATGCAGTACTTACATATATTAATATTAATACTCTTTACTTGTGCTGTATTCACTGAGAGTGAGCATTCATTATGGAAAGTGGTAATAGGATATTGTCAGTAAGTATTTTATAGCATAGTCAAATTTTATTAACAAATTCCTTTGCCAGCTATGGTAAAAAAAAAAAGTACAACTTAAATTTAACAAGCAATATGAGATCTTAATACTAGGCTGTCAATTTTTTAAAAATAAAAAAAAATACCTTTTACAAATAATTGTTCATTAACTTTAAAAGATCATATTATATAAAATATAATGCCATCCAGTGTTCAATAGTGTATACAAAATATCAAATAGTGAACAAAACGTTATTCAAAAGAATATTTTAAACAACACTGTTGTATAGGGAAAAACATTTCTATAGATAACAAAAAAAATGATCATTCAAAATATAGGATCTAAACATCTTGTATTTGTAAAAAAATAAGATGTTAATATACAATTATAATTACAAAAATGAGTGTAAATCATTGATGTCACAACATAAGAAAAGTAACAAAAACAATTCAGGAAGATTTTTCAAATATCAGCAAACTTGATTTAAGATAATAGTACCGGTAATTTAATGGTGTCGACCAAATCTTATGTCTTTAACATTGTATATATTAGCATCTTATGTCTGAACATTGTAGACTGTGTCTTAGCATCTTATATCTTATGTCTTAAAATTATATGTCTTAAAATTATATGTCTTAACATCTTGTGTCTTAATAACTCATGTCTTAACATCTTATGTCTTAACATCTTTAGTCTTAACATCTTATGTCTTAACATTTATATGTCTTAACATCTTATGTCTTAATGTAACATGACAGGTCATCAGGAATGGCAGAGTGTCATCTAGGCATCAATGGACACTCTGAACTTGCTGGGGTCAGCTAATAGATTATTTCCTGCTCTCTTGTAAACTTTGGTCTCACAATCACTAATAAATGCAGTGTCATAATAAAACAACAACATTATTTATAGTCAGGAATTACATCAAATGGCGATTAGTAATGTCATTTGTACATCAAATGGCGATTAGCAATGTCATTGTATGTCAATGGGAATTAACTCTAAATCTGGTTATTGGGAATGTTTTACTTAGGTGTAGAAAATCAAAATGGAGTTGCTTTCAGTTTTAAAGCATCTAATTTATAAATATATTTCAACAATCAGATCAGATATGTACAAAGGGATTCTGGAATGAAATAGTTGTACTGAGAGCAAAGCAATCAAGGCATAGAATGCCAAGATTGCACAGAATTTAAATAAAAGTAAAAGTTACATAAATTGTTGCATGATTGGCAATAATTACTTTAAAAATAAGGATTGTATGAATTTCAGTACAATTTTTTTTTACATCAAGATACTATAACAACAATTTAAAAAAAACACATCATATACTCAGATATATATTCGGATATATAAATTTGATTCTTTTTCACCAACTTAAGAAATTTCTTTGTAGATTATTATTTGTTAGAAAGAGCAAATAATCGGTTCAGTAAATGGAATAAAAAAGCAACAAATAATTAACAAAGTACACTTGACAAAGTTAAAAATCCTAGAACTTTAAAAAGCTGCCTGACATACATTTTAGATAACAGAAAACTTGTCAAATTTAAAAAAAAATCTTAGTTTTTGGGAACATTAGCCTTGAACTTTTCAAAGCATTCATAAAAAGCATCCCGAAGAGACACCTCCCTTGGGTCTCCCAGAATATATCCACCCAAGTAGTTTGTTGTGTAGGCCACTCCAACCCCCAGGGTGGGGTCAGCAAACGCTAAGTTACCACCATAACCAGGGTGACCAACAATGTGACGTCCTTCCTTCAAAGACAAAAGAATTTTTTTTAAAACAGTTATAAGAGAATTTAATGTCTTAATTGTCATGAAAGCTCATAAAAATTAACATGCTGAATGTGGCATTTACAAACTGATAGCAGGCTCCATGCTGCAAACAGCAACTGAATGTGTCCAAAAATATAAATAATTTGAAAGAACAAGGTGCATATCATTTTATTTTCCTTGCTGCATCCCAGCAACAATTAACACACTACAATTTCTGCTACCAATATATGTGACAAGGTGCATATATTATATAAATAATAACTTAAATTTTTTAATGATGGTAATTATGAGGAGTAAGAACTTCATCATAGGTTGAAATTAATTAAAGAATTTACACAATTAAAATCATAGGAAAATAATGTAATAAACCACACATAAAGAATCATGTAATCATGACAGGAAATTTTTTTTTTTAATTAATTTTTTTCTTAACCAATTAACAATCCCGGCCCAAATCTCTGAGTGGCCCGGATTGAATGGGTTAATCTAGATTGATGAAATACCTTTGAGTTGTCCACCATTAGACCTCTGGACATAGGCTTTGAGAGAATAAGGAGATTGGGCAAGCCTTGTGTGATAGGTTGCATCAGTGCCTCCACAACACCAGGAGACAGAAGTTGTTTTCCCTTTATGCTCCCCCTATTAGCTATAAAATCATACAGTTTGGCAATGCTTCTGGCAGTTCCAATACCATTTCCAGAAGGCATTCCTATTGACAGGAGCTCAGGATTGTTCAGTGCCTTTTTAAAAAAAAAAATTTACAAACTTCAATTAATGTTTTTATATGTTTACAAATTTAAACTCACTTTCTTTGACCTTGTTTATTTCTTAAAGATATTTAATTGAAAATTATTATTACTGTTTCTACTGGTGTATAACGTCCCAACAGTTTGGGGTTGTCAAAGCTGTTATTTGTGGCCCAGCAGATCAGTCGCACACTTAGTTTGTGGAGTTACATGGCCCTTTTTAATGTATATACAACAAATATTTTTTATAAAGGATAACATAAAAATGTTTCCATAACAACTTGAAGACAGACAAGCAAACGTCTTGAACTACGCCATCTTTAATGAACATAAAAAGACTTATTACCATTTGCGCGAGCCTGAGTGAGAGCAAGGGAAAAAACTATTCTCCGTATAAATGACTACTCCACACTGAATTACGGTAAACGAAATTGATGTTGAGTGAATAGGTCGTGCCTCCGATTTTTATAAAAATGTTTGCTAAAAAGAGTGCGAACCATATGTCGGTATATACAGTACCTTAAAATATTATTAATTTTTTATTTTATTCCAAAGGGGGTGAAGAGGGTTGTACGCCATGTGCGTGTATGTATGTTGGTTATAATATATTTTATAACTATAATTTTAGACTATATAGGGATTTGCAAGGGTTATCAATAGATGATGTAAGAGCACACAAACTTAACAGATGAATTCCAACCTTTTCTCCACCCCCATCCATGAAACCCAATGCAGTTTGAAAGTAGGGGTTAAATGTCAACTCAAACAAATCCATGTAGCTGAACCGCTGTTCCCAGAAGCTAGCAGCTTTGTACCTGGCAAATCTGTGGTACTGCTCCAGTGGAAGTCCTATGTAGTACTCAATGTCTATCAGAGTTGAATAAAATTTAAGTGTTAACCATGTGTTGTGCAATGGAATGTTAGGTTGAAAGCTTATCATTCAGTCCATGCATTCCTAAGACTAATGAAATATAATCAAGTCCTGACATGAAATAAGTGAGAATAAATTGTAATAGTAAGCTAACCATGGGAGGATTTAATGGATGATGGCAGAGAATATTTTATACTGATTCTTCTGGAAAAATGATTACTGGTAAAAAAAGTGGTGATGGGCTTCTACACAGGGGTTGCTTTCAATCAGAGTTGGGGGGGGGGGGAATAAAAATCCCCCATACCCTGTCTGTCTTTTGAATTTTTCCAGGTAATAAAATTAATATGGGTAAGAAAACAAAACAAATTTTAAAATTATTTTTTATAATTTTTTTATTTGTGGGTGGGGGTGATTTTTGTAAGGAGGGCAAAAAGAAAAAGTACACTGTACTCCAACCCACAAGTATGGAACAACATGTTTTGTTAAGAATTCAAACCAAAATAAAAATTATAGTATTATAGGCGAACTATAATTATCACAGTGTAATTTGATGAAAAATTTGAAATTGTTATCACTATTACTACTTAATTGTCATCAGTTGTAACAATTTTTAACTGGTAACTTTTTGTATTACTGATATTCATAGAGAAATCTTGAATTAAACACCAATACAATGACTGGCTTGATCCACACTGACCACAGTAAAAAATTTACCATGTCCAAGGTCTAGGGGTGGGGCGAAGGCTGGTTGCTAGTAACTAATATTTGGGCTATTTACTTATTTTCTTGAAATTCAGTACAAAAATGTAAGATATACAATTTATGTGGTCTTGGGCTAAATATAAATTATTTTCTTCCATCTAATGATTTTTGTTTTTGAAATTAACATTTGTTTAAAAATGATAATATTTTAAAATTGCCATCTTTACTTTCATTGTTTTTTTGGCAACTATATTGGACCCTGTGAAGTTGTGATTGGTCAGTAATAATTGTTGCAGTAGCAATGATATCTCTTTAATACAGATTTTCTTAACTTAAGAATATGGGAACTGACCAAATGGTCTTGCGATTTCATCTTGGAAGAATACAGAGAGATTCCTGTGCTGTGGATCCACCTTTCGTACTAAAGCATCAGCGTACATGCCTAATGTCAGACCATGATAGCCTACAGCAGACCCTGTAGTATAGAAACAAAGAAGCTTAGTTTAATTTAAGTAGATCATGGTTACTTGAGTGATAGTGATTCCCAAATCAGATGTCTTCATTGCAATAAAGTTGTTTGTTACAGAATAATTACAGGGGAAAAAGATACACAAATACTCCGTGCAAACAATTACATCAAATGGTGCTTTGCGACAAATTAACAGTTATGATATACAAACCTGCAGGCCATTTAGGGGCTTGAATAGCTAACAAGTTCTCTACTTTTGACCAATCGTCACGGTAGTCATAAAAAGTAATCTTCTCTTCAAGACCAATGAGTCCTGCCTGGAAGTAGGACAATGTGAAGAAATTTATAAATAATATTTTGCCAGCTCTTTGGATGACACATGCCACCTTCTTCATCACAGATACCTAAGATCAGCTCGAATTCCTTTCCTTAAAGTTAGGACAGAAAGATACAAAAATTCTTTTGTTCCCCTGTCTGTTAGAATTTTTTACCCGCGTGATCTCTTAGGGATTACCAAATCTAAATGATCACTAATTAAATCAATTTGTCCTAAGAAAGTTTTTTTTGTTTTTTGTTTGTTTGTTTTTTTTTGGTATATGATGGTTGATTTGTATGCTAGAGAAATACTTAAAGATGTCTTGTGTTTAAATTGATCTAACTGTAAAATGTTGTCTTGGTTAAAATATGTATTTACTTATGAGCTGAAAATGAATATGTACAATGTAATAAAAAAACTTTTCCACTTATTTGGATCAATATAAGACTCTAATCTTATCTTTATCAATAATGACGAAAATTTCAGTGAAGATTTCTACTTAATCAAAATATTGAATCATCATGGTTCAGATCCAGTGGCCATTTGATGAATCTACCTTCTCCACAGCTGTTCTTTGTTGGTACATAGGGTGTTGGTATTGTCTAGTATTTTTGGTAGATGGTTTAGGAATACGTCTTGAAGTGTTGAGCAGTGGAAGAGGTGGGTGTTACTGCCCCATTCGGATGTTTCCAGAAGTGGCACATTGGTATTTCATCGTGATTTATGCAAATTAAGTTGTATGTGTCCTGTGCGTAGGTGGAAGTTTATGACCTATTCGTGTCAATCAAAATATTGAAAATGATGTTTAAATTGACTTGCCTGGTGACTCATTAGCATCTCCACAGTTATATTCTTCTTGTTTTGAGCAGCAAACTGAGGCCAGTAATGATACACCTCTTTTTGATAATCAAGTAAGCCCCTAAAGGCAAAAGAATAACAACAAAAAATACTAAAAAATAGTTTAAGCCTAAATTAAAGGGCTTATTCTGTGGATATATCAGACCTGTTTACTCTTACGATTTTGGCGTACAATGTACGATTTTGAGGTGTATACGTTATATATACTGTATGTTTATTTTTACTACTATGATAATGTATTGAACAATTTTGTGATGATAATGTACGATTTTAAGAGTTTGAGGGTAAACATGTCTGATATATTACAATGAGCCGTTTAAAATATAGATTTTTTTTAATACATACAAGCACAAAGGAAAAAAAAAGGGGCATTAGGATTAGGATTTACATTATAATTATGTACACACATTTATATCAGCTTTAAAAAAAAATAACTTTTATCACCCACTTTCTTCTTTAAAAATGTCCACATTTTGACCATGGGTTCAAAAAAATTAAAAATTACACATGGTGAAAGTAATGAAAAAAACATGTTTTTTTTCTATATTGAGAAATGATGTTTACAACATCCACTTAATGGTGTTGCCTCATATGTTTTTAAAAGAGAAACTGTGAGCACAGTGCCAACTTTAGCCTTCTCAGACTCAGTGCCTTTAGCCGCACAATACATACCTAATTGCTTGGCAACAATCTGACACATCCTAAGTATGTGAAAGTTTGAAACAATGTGTTGACTAAAAGCCTTCCTTTAATATATAAAAAAAAGGATAAATAATAAATAAAATAGTGAAACTAAGCTTACAGAATGTAAGAATAAACTGACACTAAGAATGATTCTAATTTTTCAAGAGCATTTATCTTTATTTAAAACATTTTTTTTTTTACTGTTTACCAAGGAAACTTATTGGAAGACACATTGGGTGTTAAGTTGCATGTCCTTTAAAGCTTTGGCATACTTTGTACCATTTTATTACCTTTTCATCCATGTCATTAAAAGACAACATCACCTTTAATTTGCCCCCATTTAAAGTAAAGGGACTCTTTTAAAACACACACATGCTCTTTAAAATAAATGTTCCCCTAAAGCAGCGTTTCTCAACCTGTGGGTCGTGACCCCTTTAGGGGGTCGAACGACTCTTACACACAGGTCGCCTAAGACCATCGGAAAACACATATTTATGAAGTAGCAAGGAAAAGAATTGCATGGTTGGGGGTCACCACAACAAGAGAAACTGCATTAAAGGGTCGCGGTATTAGGAAGGTTGAGAACCACTGCCATAAAGAGACAAGCAAGACACTAGAAGAATGAATACTTACATGTCAACTAACTTGGCTACCACAATAGCAGAAATACCTTTGACCATTGACCATGACAATGCCATGGTATCACTCTGCCAGTGCCTCTCAGTTTCATGGTCAGCCCATCCACCCCATATGTCAATTAAGACTTCTCCTTTGTAGAATACAGCATAAGCGGCCCCTCGCTCTTTGCTGCTGGCAAAATTTGATCTGATGATTTTGGCAACAGTCCATTAATTTACTATTGTGACATGAGATTCTATTGGATATATATTTTTTTTGTAAAGTTTAAACAAATATCTAACAAGTACATTAAAATTATATTTTTAAAATAATAAATGCATTGCTAACTTAACTAGACTTAGGATTTTCAGAATAAGAGTGGAATGGAAACAATGTAGTAGTGGCAAGATAGCTTTTTTTTTTACTCACTTAAAGGTTTCAGCAACCTTTCTAAAAGAAGGATGAAAAAAGCCAGAGACTTGAGGTGCAACATTAGTCTTTGGATAATTATGAGCATAAAACTGCCATGCAACAATAGCTACTAGCATTGCACCAATGCTTTTAATAAAACCCATTTCTTAATGGTATGTGTTGGGTTGTAAGCTTTACCTGCAATAAAAATGTTAAATATGTTTATACATAAACCTTACTTAGCCCTAACAAAACATTTGTTTTAATATATTAAAAGCTGGCTTCCATTTCTAATCACAAATAGTTACTTGCACTACTGACTTTGACAAGAAGATTTCCAAAACAAATGATATGATATGTAAAGTGACCAACAAGATTTGGTGAGCAGCATACAGACAAGAGATGATAAGTTTCTTTTGGAACCCCTGGTCTAAATAGTGTGAATAATATAAAGTAAAGAGTTAAGTTAAACATTTAAAAATGTATGTATGATGATTAGACTCTATATAACTAATAGCCATTTGAGTACTCTAGTAGTATTAGTATAATATTATTATTAGTATTAATAACTGCGTCTGTACTGGTACTATTACTATTACATATACCCAGTGTTTCTTTCAATTAGATCCAGAAAGGGAGGTGGAATTTCAGGCATTCTGAGGGGGTGGGGTAGTGCATCTGGTTACAGGAAATTTGTTTGAAATTTCGTAGACGGAAAATTGATTATTTAGGAAATTTAATAGACCGGAAATCTGGTTGAATTTTTTTTTTCAGTTCACACGATCTAATTTTGCGTCAAATTTCTTTTTAACGCACTATACTATATAGTAAAACAAAATAATGTGGTCAAAAATAAAATTTAGGCAAAATTAAATTGCCTGAACTGAAAAAAGAATTCAACCAAAGTTCCGTCTATCAATTTTCCAGCCATGAAATTTCTTTCAAATAAATTTCCGGATACAAGTTTCCGGATACTATTTCATTTGTGGTGTGCCCTGGGTCACTCTGGGGATATGCTGTTTGCCCCAGCAGACTATCACCCTGGAAACTATATTAATCAGGCTTTAATATAGTTATATAATGAATTAAGGGAAAATTAAACTTTTGTCAGATTAAGAAAATCATTTGCATTACTATCCTCCACTTTTAATTTAATTTGTGGATATAAATTTTAAAGGTGCTGTCATTTTGATCAAGTGGTTGGGGGGGGGGGGGGGAAGAAATCAAGGAGCCAAAAGGGAGGGAAAGAGACTCAGTCCCTTACCAAATTTTTTTGGATAAATTTGAAATCAAGGGCTAATTTTAAAGGTGCTGTCATTTTGATCAAGTGGTTGGGGGGGGGGGGGGTGTAGAAATCAAGGAGCCAAAAGTGAGGGAAAGAGACTCAGTCCCTTACCAAATTTTTTTGGATAAATTTGAAATCCAGGGCTAAGGATTTATTTCAGGGCATATCCTAACTGAATTTAGTTTTGTATATGAATATGATTCATAATAATTCATTATGATTCTACGTCTACACTTACGTCTAATAGTCTAACTTCAACGATTATTAACCCAAGAGCAACAGAAGAGATGCCAGTGGAAATTTAATTGTCCCTTGACGTGTTTAAATTTTAAAAAGAATGATTTAGGGCCTATATTTTATCTAAAAACTATGAATTTGTTAAAACTAATTCTCCTACCCCACAACCCCAACTCAGTAAACTATACTATACTTATACTACTACTACTACTGTACAGTCAGTAGTCATCATGGTTATATTATATTAATAATAGTAGTTTTCCCTGGTCCCTGGCCTAGGCCACAATCACAAACAATTCAAAAATTATTTTTAAGATACATTAAAGCCCATGAATTTATTCATAATTATTAATTCATTAGGCTTAATTATTAGTTTATTAATTTAGTATAGTATTAGGCCATAATTAGGTGTGGAAAAAAAGGGTAATAGTAATTAGTAATACTAATGATGACTAATGGTAGGCACTTTGATGAAAATTTCTAAACATTTTTAAAATATAAAACTACTACAGCTGTATAGAGCCAATAGAATGGTTTACAAAAACACCAAGATCAACTTTCTAGCTCAAGTGGTTCAAAAGTTATGAATTTTTTAGTATGGACCTCAAAAGCACTTTTTCACTATGGGATTTTCCTCCACATTTCGTCCCCCTTATATTGCTATTGTTTTTATGCCTATAACTTTGTTATAAAATGAGACAAAAATATAATATTTACAGGGAACACAGTTAAATATGAGTTCTTCAAAATTAAGCCACAAAATACAATTGTAGCTTTTGTTAATATTCCGCAAAAAAATATTTTTAATCTTGATAATTTTCCTTATTAAAATGTATCAAATATGCTGACTCGTCACTTATTTGTATTTAATTAATATATTTTTTAAAAACATATATATATTAAATTTCCCTAATTTTATAATAATAATAATATTCTTTAGATATTAATTTCAAATTTTCAATGGAATTGTTTAACATTTATAAGTATCAAATAATAATACAGGGATTATTTCATTCTTTTATCTAAAATTGACAATTATACTTTTTATTTTTCCATTTTCTATATATGTATTTTTAGTCTCATGTAAATATGACCAAAAAAATTGTAGATTCTTTATTTTAAGTTAGTAATCTTGTTTCACAAATCAAAATGTATCAACTTTGGCAGTTGATAGAAATTAAAATAAGTTCTAGTCATTTGCTTGAGGTAAGTACAAGCTTTTATGATTATTCTTTAATAATATCTTAAGAAATTCTTGGATCACTGTGGCAGAGAGTGTGTTATTTCTTGAATATTGAGGATTATATTATATAATAAGTTTCTTGTGGAATATTGTGATTTGTGAGTGAATACAGGATATTTCAATATCAAAGGTAAGTGAATATTTACATTTTTAATTTTATTTTAAGAATCATAATGTTCATTAAAAAATAATTACATAGCCATTCATATCATTTACCTATAATAGATTCTTCAATAACAAGTTGGGATGTCACTAGGTCTATACTATACAAGGCTTATAGGATATATATATATATATATATTTTCCTACTATAAGTGTAATAATACTACTAAGGCTAGTGTTATTTATCCCACTCCCCCAATTAATACCTCAAAATAAAAGCAACAGATAATATTATAAATAGCTATTTGTGTTAGTAAATTGTTGCTTTGTTTCAAAATTAGTTATTAGTGGGTAATATGCTGGATTTCCAGTGTAAATCAAGTTACTTATTACAAAAAAGTCCATTATCGATAATAGGTAATTTTGGGACACATGTGACAAACATTTTGCACAAAAATTTCTCACCCATGCCGGGGTCCTAACCTCACGAATTTTGGATATGTTGTCATTTATGCCTACATCTAACATTGGTATTTTCTCTTTTTAAACTTACATTTTCCAAAAAAAAATTATGAAAGAGTCAAATTTGCTATTATTTACCATTAATTTTCAATGTCAAAGTGTCAAATTTTTTCTTAATGAAAAGTGTCAAATGAACAACAAACATGTCGGCTTTAAGTTGAGGGCAGAAATAGAATTTAATAACAAAACTAACTTTAGCAAAAAAAATCTTAAACAACAGAACCCTTGGTAAATTAAAAAGTGGAGGTCGCCATTTTGACAACGAAATCACGATACCCGGTTTTCGGCACTTCCCGGATCATACCGAAGTCCCTACTAATGGCAATGGCGACATCTCTTTGCTCAGACAAACTCTTCTACCAACTCCTTCTTAAAATTATTTCCCATTAATAACAAAGATCATTAATTATTTTCAAAGTGTAAGCAAATATATTTCGATTTCTCCGAGGTTTTATTTCCCTTACTTTCGTCAGAGTACCACTTCTGTTTGCTTCAGTGCTTAGCTGACTACAGTCTACAGCACTGCCATTCACCTTTTTTTTTCAAATTTCCCCAGATTTTTTTTTTTAAAACAATATTCCCAAGATTTCCCAAGGTTGTAAAACTACACTAATAGAAGTATTTTTTAAAAAAAAAGTTGTTAAAAAAATAATTAGTACAATAATAGCTTGAATTAATGCCCCAGAAATACACCGTAAAGTAATTGACTAAAATGTTTTATTGCCTTCTATTATGAATTCTCTCACAATTTTCTGTTAAAATTTGCCAAAGCCCCTGATTTTCATAATTATTCCCCAGATCCCAAGTAGGTCGTGAATTCCCAAGATCCTAGGAAATCTCCCAGGGTCTCGTAACTCTTGTTGACTGAAATTGAAGACATTTCTGCCTTCTTCAACAAAAGATCCAAAAACTTAATTCATGGATCAGATGTTAAAATGTTATCAAAGTTTATTTTTTGAAAAAAAAAAAAAAAAAAAAAAAAAGAGGAGTCTTTTAAAGTGCCAGGACGGAATTAAAAATTCCCATTTTTTCCAAGAATGTCGAATGATTTTGAACAAAAATAATTCTAGATGCTCAAACTTAAAGATCAACGTCAAAGAGGGTTTCCCTTTTCCTTCAGTTCAGGTTCCCAAGACCTGCTCTAGACCGAGAGCAATGTTTTCAAACCGTTGTACTACGAACGATTTTAAGAGTTATTCCATTGCCAAAAATATATTTTTTTGAACAGAAATCTTTTGGCAGAAATTTTTTAAGTCCTTATCGATGTTGGAATTAATCAGGTGGCCTCGATACACCGT